AAAACCCTCTTTTTACTACTGAGCCCAAGCCCAAACCTGGGCTTGCCCCCACAGGGGCGTGAAAGGGCTTGTTCGATCTCCACTGCCTCACGAAGAACTATTTTATTATTATAACTTTTATTATTGATATTTAGAGCGCGGAGTTGTTGAAGCTGTGAAAGGATAACAAACCCTTTCTCTCTTCCTTGCTCTTTTCCCCCATCAACTTCCAGTTAGTGGTGGGCTCTGTCCCTGCTAGAACTGAAGCCCCCCCTCTGGGGAACACACATTGTGGGGGGGGGACATCTTGGGGGGTATTTAAAATATGTCACAGAAAATTTAAGATGTTTTACAAATAATTTAAGCAGTAACTTAATTATATCCTAGTGTTTTGGGGTGGGGGTGACGGGGGCTCCTCCACCTGCCGTGGTGGGATTCCTCACTCCAGAAGCTGCTCTGCATTTGGGATCCTGTCGCTGTCCCACCCACTCCTGCTGGAAACTGTGGCGGTGGGGGGGGGCTTGGGGGTGCGGGGAGGCTTTCGGTGGCATTTCGGGCTGGATGGGGGCTTTTTGCCCAGGGCTTGTGTGTCCCCCCCCTCAGTTCCTCCTTTGGGGGAGAGGAACCGGAGGAGCTGCCCGTGGCTGGCAGGGGCAAGTGTAGCTGAGCCCATGGGGTCTGGTTGTGCCCATCCCAGGGTGCAGGGGCCCTGGTGTTGGCACATGGGGATCCAGGCACAGGCCGGGAAGGCGGCGTGGGGCCGGGGGGGCTGCTCCCCACGGGAGCCTTGGGGCGAGGTGGGACGAGGCCGTGCCCGGTAGAAGGGTCCCTGTGCCCCAGAGCTCTGCCAGGGGCTCCCCTCATCGCAGCCCGCCTGGACACGGCTTATCCTGCGACCCTGGGCCACAGCAGCCGCCTGGGTTTGGGTTGAACCTTTTGGCGAAAAAAAAACCAACCCTATTTCCTTTGTTTTCAGACTTTTCCAACTTTCAATAAACGTACTGTTTCCGCAAGGTTTTGTGAAACTCTTGTTCTGCATCTGCCTTGGTTCGAAGCGCAATCGGTGGCGCTGCCCCTGCCGTCACCGACACCCCCCCACCCCCCCCC